TTATTTTCGTAATTTTCACAATAAAAGTAACAAGTAAAATCAGAAAGACATGCAGTTACGTGAAGTGACATCAATAAAAGTTGTTTTATAATTTGGAAACTCTAAATCATGGGATGACAGAAGCAGCTTTTTATTTGTAGGTAATTCACAGATTATCGCTTACGACACATCACCAGAGTTTTGTGGAGAGACAAGTGTTAAAGAAATAAATGATAAACAAATTAAATAAACTCCTTTTAAAAGTTATATTCGTAAATTACGGTGCAGACGAACATTATTGAAGATTTCACCATTATATATGATGTGAGTCAGCGAGATAAAAATAACAAAGGTATGTACGTGTTGAAGACACAAACACAAAAGAACAAACCAACCGTTTGTTTCCCAGAATTCAACCCAACAGATCATAGACACAGCAATCTGAAGCAAAAGTTAGTTTTATGAATGTACTTAACTTACATTTTTAGTTAATCATTGCAGTACGCTTTAATTCCTTGATTTATCATGGCTCTTCACTACTTTAATTATGACATTGTTAACTAAAAAGATACTATGACATTGGTTAGCTTCGAAAACAAGATTCAATGTCAAAAACATATCTTTGTTCAGTCCTTGTCCGGAGCATATTTTATCGTATTTTGATCCTATCTGGATCAAAGTTTACCAAAATAGTGCTGCCGTGTGAAACATTGTGGAATTGTTTGAAACAAATTTCCACTTCAGAGGTCAAAGCAATAGGGAATCTGTGCGTAAAATCCCTGACGTAAGCATGTATTTTCCCGTTGTCCACACCTGGCTTATATTTTACCAAAGTAGGTCGTATATAAGTGCACTTAATGATTTGAAAGGTGACCTGTATTGGAGACAACTTAGTATAAATGCTACACCCATTCCAAGAATGTAAAAGGTGAGAATTAGAATAGAGATCAATGCCATAATTCCCGTACACTCACCACGAGCCCTATATGTATTGATTATGTAGACAGAGTACTCTGTAGTCAAATTTAGCATAAAATCACTGACCTAGCAAATGGTCTGAAACATGTCAGCCAAAATACGACCCAACGATTGGATTGTTTTTGAAACAAGGTCATTATAATGACCGTAGAATTTGTGAAAAGCTGACTTTAAACGGAGTTGTTGCAATCCTTGTATGATCAACATATTTGTCAGTACCTTGCCTCGGCTTATAAATTGGTCTCGTATTCACAGCATGCTCTTGCGTATGGAATCAGTTAGGAGACATAAACAATATATGCGGTTGATGTTGGAATATTGCTACATTAAAAGGACGATGATGAAGGAAACGCCAAGTCATCCCGTTTGTCATACAGTTTTGTTATTAGTTGGCCGTTATCGTCTATATCCAGTAAAACATCCAGATATGAAACAGATGTAGTACACTCTGTAGTATCTTTTATTTCGAATTAATTGGGATATATCGAGAAGGCAAATGAATTAAAGTAACCATTGTAATTGATAAACGTCGTCGATATATGTCGAGCAGAAGTTCACAGCGTTTTCTCCTTCTCATATAGAAGTTTTTGAATAAATTCTGTTTAATAAGAATATAAAAACAGATCAGGTAATACAGGAGCACAATTAGTTCCCCTCGTAATTCCAACACTTTGTTGCAAGACCTGGTCTCCAAAGACTACATAGATATTGTCAATGAGGACCTCCAGCATTCTTTAAATGATAAATTCGGAGTACTTGTATGTAGAGTCAGAATGATTTTTAACAAAGTAAATTTTGTCGATAATAAATCGCAAGATATGCAAATTAACGATTTTCATTTTATTAAAGCAGTTGTCTATGAAGTCGAAAAGCCTGCTCTTTTAATTTATTGTCAGAAATGGTTGTATAAAGCTTAGAGAATTATATGTTTTGATGCTATCGGTGTTTGAAAAGATTTGAGATTTTCAATTTTTCAAAAATTCTTTGGAATTTTTTAGAATCCACATTTGATTTACACCATTCCTTGAATATGTTGACACCACTTCTTGAATATGCTGTAGAACAATACGTCTGAAGTTTCTCCTTCACAGAAAATATTTTGGTAAAGAGTAAGGATAGAGGCTTGGTTATTGGGTCCTACAATATATCTTTGTTTGCAAGGACTTTTATGAAGTTACTAATTCTTTGATTTAGAAATGCTTCGTCGGGATTATTTTTATAAATAATCTTTTAGGGCCTTTTTCATTATTAACGGATCATACAAAATGAAGGGATCTTTAAAAAGAAGTTTTTTTTAATTGTTCAAATCATGGAAAATTCAATGAAACTCTATTTATGAAAACGCCATAAGTAATGTGATTAACTGCAGGGAGACGCTGGACACACGAGAAGCTCCCTTTGGTCCCCTTGTTGAGTATACGAGTGTACTTCATTATGATGTTCATGTAAATGAGCAATATTTTGAGTATATGAGTGTACTTCATTATGATGTTCATGTAAATGAGCAATATTTTGATCGTTCACAGGTTTTAAGGGAAATACATGTGACAGCTAAAAACACTTCACACAAGTGGACACCCAAAGCTTATCACTGAAAAAGTATTGTTTATTTTTACGGAGTACATTCCATAGATTTGTGAAATATTTGTACGTTTTAGATACATTCCCAGGAATCTTCTTTTTTCGGTAAACATAGGATAAAATAGAATTTTCTAATCACCCCATGTACGTAACATGTACAAAAGAGGAAGTAAAATGTCGACAGTGATAAGTAAACAGAAAGAATACTGATATCAGTCGCAGCTATTGTTTACAACACTATTTGAGGTTTGACGTCCCAATCGCCATTGCATGCGTACTGACCCTCCGATGAACATGGCTTAAAATCTTGTAAATGTGTAGTTTTTTAAGCTGTTTTCGTTTGCATAAATTATATAGCGACTATAAGTAGACTATTTTGTAATATCATATGAAAAAAAAAAATAAATCGGTCAACTTCAATGCATATTCCTAGTTGGCGAATATAAATTTCATCTTTCAATCATTCTCTACGTCAGGATTGTCAGCTGCATGCTGTTTTATCTCTGCTACGGATTTAGTTAATATCAAATTATGATCTTCTTTCTTCAATATAAAAACCAGAGTGGTATTTTTCCAAAAACCATAAGAATTAACGTCAACGCACATTTTTGACCTTAAAATTAAGTCTATATTGAATGTATCCAGACACAACCGTTTTTAAAGAACATATGCATTAAAACATAATAATAATAAATAATTTTCCTCCAGACAAAATTAAAATAAAATAATTTCCTGCAGACAATTAACGTTTAATGATACTCGTGAAAAAAGGGTTTTCGAATATCAAATTGAAACCAAGTAAGAAAAAGTAATATTTTTATATTTTGTGCAGTCGCCCGCGTGGCGCAGTGGTTGGAGTGTATGCTCTAAAGTCGCGGAGTAAGGATCTGATCCTTACGCCGAGGGTTCGAATCCAATGAGGGATATAGAGATCGGTCCTTCAGATGAGACCTTGTAACAGAAGGGTCGGCACGAAAGAGACCCCTCACTGCTCAATGGCCCTGAGTGCCTAGTATATGAATTTGCAGGCATCCACTGGCAAGTTGTGTCGTCTCCACATGAGTGAAAAATTCTTGGGAGGGACGTTAAACAACCAACAAACAATTATATGTATTTTGTTCTGTTACATCATCTGTTTACGGCTGTTCTATAGATAATTCTATTTTAATTGGGCAGTAAAATAGAATTCTTTTGAAACAGTACAAGGATAATGGAAAGCGTCGATCTAAAGAGTTTTTCTGCGATCTGGAAAGTAATAAAAAGATGCTCGGTGTGAAATAGATATATTGTCTGTAACAGTTGGAACCACCTTATAGGATTATCAAGTTCATGCTGTGTTAAGGATTGGTCAACTGCTTTCGATCAAGTTATTGTCTTAGAAAAAACTATATGTAGAATGATTTTGTCACCAAGAATCATATCAAAATGTTTTCAAGACGAAGGTAGAAGATGCCAACAAACTGAAATTAATCATAAGACATTATCACCGGGAAGCACTGGCTCAGACTTATTCATCGCATCTCAAGCATCTTTTCTCTCATTAATCAATAGCTTTTTTAACATTATTTACATACTCAATGAATTGCAGAACGTTTAATTTATTAATTTGAAATGAATAGCATCATGCTACTACCTCAATTCTTTAATTAAACTCTCTTTATCTAATTAAATTTGGCATAATAAAGATAAAATATCAGAAGGATTTATTAGAAAGATCTTAGAAAGATCTAATATTTCGTTGCTAATATTTTGTTTCATCAAATTTTTTTCTTGATATTTTTCGAAAATTAACTTTCAAATTCCTTAATACTTCTAGAGTTTATTAGTAAAGGCTTAATTTGATCCATTGAGTATATGACCTTGCACTAGATCGATTTAATATGACCTTTACATTACCCTCTTATGTACTAGCATACAAATATACGGTAGTATCAATTAAATAGGAAATGTACGGAAAATATATGAATAAAATCATAAAGAAGACATTGCATCCAAATTAATAAATTCTTAAATATCTGCAAATAATATTTTATTTAATAATAAAATACATTTTTCGTTGTGAAAATGTTATTTCATCCGCCTCTCACTGCATACAAACTGCATCAAGTTTTACGAAATGACGTCACATCGACAAATGCATCGCCATCAGTGACTTGTTTATACCTCGCTATGTGGGATTTAACAAACGACAAAACAGCATGTTATAGTTAAGTTTTGATGTAGTTTGATGGTCTCCTACTGTTGTAGAATGAAATAAAAGACGTCTTATTCGTATAGTGGTTTTTTGAGACTTGTTATTATCTATAGAAACATAACGTAAAGTATTATAACAAAGTTAACGTTACATAAACTCGCGGATAATCCATGACACTCCGGGCACCAAAATGAATAGTAAAATTTTAAAAAGCTCATATTAAATTAACAGTTCCATTGAAATAAAAAGCAAGTTCATAATCATTAAATCAAGAGGTCCATTCATGGATTCTTTCTTTGGCTTTTGTTTTTGATACTCGATCAGAAGATTGTATTTGAAGTTCGTTCTCATTCACTTTGATTGGATATAGTTTCAAAATTGGTCTATTGGTAAGTCCATTTTTGGTCCGTAAAGTGGCAGCTATGACGAATCCGTCTCTCCCCTGTATGAGTTCCTCCACGACAGCTAGTTTCCACATGATCCGAGGTTTCTCCTCATGGATTTGGACAATGTCACCGACTTTAATATTCTGCGACCTGTTTCCATTTGCTGTATGGTACTCTCTCAGTGATGTCAAATATTCTCTCTTCCAGCGGCTCCAAAAGTGATTTAAAATAGTATTCTGATTATCCAATCTTTGTTTTAGACGACGACAAGTCAATGAATGACAGTCGTTTGAATTCTCTGAGTCCTCTGTTGGGTATGGTAAGGAAGTCAGTCTTCTTCCGTACAGCAAATGTGATGGTGTTAATGGCTCTGGATCCTCGAGGTTCGATGAAACGTATGTTAACGGACGGTCATTTACTATCGCTTCAACCTCTGTGACTACAGTTTGTAAGGTTTCTAAATCGATGTATGAACGGCCGATTATTTTCTTCAGTGTGGATTTGGTAATTCCTATGAGTCGTTCCCAAAAGCCTCCATACCATGGAGCTGCCTTTGGAATGAATTTCCAATTAACTCCTATATTTGCGAGTTCTTCTTTAATAGTTTTAGATTCAAACAGTTGTTGCAGGAAATTCGCTGCGGACTTGAAAGTTGGCGCATTATCTGAGATGATTATCTTAGGCACGGACCTCCGGCTTGCAAATCTACGGAACGCCCATTAAAATGACTGTTCGGATAAATCATTGACTGTCTCTAGATGAATTGCTCTTGTATTAGCGCATGTAAATAGGCAAATATAAGCTTTGGATTGTCTTCGGTTCCGTTCCTTAACGAATAAAGCTCCTGTGAAGTCTACTCCCGTAGTAGTGAATGGCGCTGATTCCTCTGTACGAAAATAGGTAAAGGCGGTAGCTCTGGTGAGGAATAGTGTTTTCCATTTACAGTTCTGCAAATTACGCAAATCCGAGTGACAGAATTTACAGCCTGTCTGATTGCTGGTATCCAAAACTTTTGTCGGATGTATGACACTGTCGCATTCGTACCAGAATGGCCACTCCGCTGATGAGCGTCTCTGATGATCAAGTGTGTAACAGTGTCCTTCTTTGGAAGTAAATAAGGGTTCTTCGTCTCGTTGTCTATTTCGGCATAGCAAATCCTACCTCTACAGCGTATGCATCCATCAGTATCAAGAAATAGACGAAGTTGTGTGATAAGAGATGGTTTGGCTTCATTGGAATTCATTTTCATAATCTCCTCGGAAAACGCGTTCTTTTGACATCCTTTTATTGGGTTCTTTTCGGCTCTGTACAGCTCTTCGGATGTTAAACAGTTGAATTCCCTGTCGCATGTGTGAACTCGACAATTTTTCACAAATCGTAATACAAATGCAACTACATGTAGTAGTTTTTTTATAATCGCTGAATCTTGATACGTCGATGATGTTCAGAATGTTTTCAGATTTAGTAGTAAGGTCGTTTGATGTTGTCGTGCATTTCTCTTGTGTCTCCATTACAGACTGTACTGAGGTCGGTTGTGGGTTCCAACATGGCCATGCCTCTCTGTTGTAAATCCATGATGGTCCCTGTTTCCATAAGGCACTGTTCATAAATGAAGTTACGTCAAGTCCTCGGGTCAGTAGATCAGCAGGGTTGTCATGTGTTGGACAGTATTTCCATGTGAATGCACTACATAATTCGCGAGTTTCGAATATTCTGACACAAATTTTTTCAACAGTTTTTGCTACATAACCAGTGTAACAGAATTTGGCTGTCTGACCAGTAGACAATATTCATTTTGGGTAATGAGTTTTGCAGGTGATTTCCAAGTCTTGCGGCAATTAGTGCCGTCATCAATTCTAACTGTGGAAGTGTGAGTGATTTAAGTGGTGCAACTCTATTTTTTGTCATGACTAAATTTGATTCGCTTCTGTTGCAGATATATGCAGCAGCTCCATTAGACTTTGTACTAGCGTCTGCAAAGATGTGTAGTGTTGTGTCACCGTCCACCTTGTTAAAATATTTCCTTGGAAATTGAACTGATGATGCGATGTTCAGATCATTTGCAAGAGAATTCCAAATCTTACAAATTTCATCTGGTACTGGGTTGTCCCATTCATACCTTTGTTCCAAAGTAACTGTAACAATATCTTGGCTCTCACCGTGACTGGGCTCAGGATACCAAGTGGGTCGTATATTTGTGATGAGTATTGTAGTATCAATCCCTTTGTAACGGTCTCAAGTTTTGGTATCTCTCGTTTCGCAAATGACAGTTTGTCGTTCATTGGGTCCCAGCGTAATCCTAGTAATTTTATTTATTGCATGGCTTCTGTGTGAAGTAGCTTACTGTTTGATGCCCATGATCTAAGTTTCATTCCTGCATCCATCATGATCTTCCTTGATTCCCGAAAGTACTCAATAGCATCAGTTTCACTTGCAAAACTGGATATCACGTTATCCACATACAGATCTCTTCCCAGAATACTTGCACTTGTAGAGTTCTTGTTCTGTAGATGCTTCAGAATTGTCGCATTTAAAATAAATGGGGAGCAAGTTGCTCCAAACAGCACTGCTCTGAAACGGTAAGGCACTAATGAACTGTTGAGATCATTCGGGTCCTTCAACCAAAGGAATCTCGTTGCATCTCGGTCATTCTCATGTAAACCAACGTGCAGAAATGCTTTTTCAATATCAGTGGTTACAGCAAATTCGTGTAATCGAAATCTTGTCAGAATTGATGTCAAATCATTTAAGATGGGTGGCGTTGAATCCAAGCAGTCGTTAAGGCTCGGCTTGTCACGTGATTCGCGGCAGCTACAGTCGTACACTATCCTGATAGGTGTGGTGCTGGAATCTTTTTTGACATAGTGGTGTGGAATATAATATACCACAGAAATCTATAAATCCTTTTCGTTCCTGTTCCTCGATTATCTCACTGTATTTTTCAAAAGTTCTGGGTTGCTACTCAGTCTGTTGATAGTACTTTGGGTTCTTTTCAGTGCAATTCCATAATTCGACGGTAGCTCAGAATGGTCATGTTTCCATGGCAACTTGGCGTAGTATTTGTCGTCTCGAAACTCGATGCATTTATATTGGTACATCTTGACTTTATCACTGGACTCGTTCTTATCTGGTGTGTCCGTGATTCCAATGTTCTCTAATTCCCAGAAGCGTTCCAGTGCTTGTTCTATTGATGTATGCATAGCTATAACATTGTATATGTGATCACTGACATTGTTTATACAAGATGATTGAGAAGTTGGTCCTGAAAGCAGAAATCCAGTCTTCGACTTCACAGCAGTTGGTCCCGGTCCCCGTATGACTTGGTTTTCTACAATTCTCCAGTAATGATCTGCTCCAATTAAAAACGAAATTACAAATTCGCTGTCAGCTGAAACCGGATGTGCTAATTTGAGTCCTTGAAGGTATGGTAGTCTTTTTACTTCAGAAGAGTGGTAGCTGGTTAGAGGGCTTGCTATGGATGGTACTATCAGAACATTAATAGCAATCAATTCTCCCGAGTCGGTTATCAAATCGATGGTTGCACTATCTAGATACTGGACACTTCCATTTTTCCCGAAAGTAGCTAGTTTAATTGCTTCAGATTTCCTTTGTGTGATTTCTAACTCATTGGCGAGTTTTTCTGTTATGAACGATCTTTGCGATCCTTCATCAAATAAGATATTAGCATCGGTTGTCTGATTTTCATGACTCACCGGGGCAATAGCTGTTTTCAGTAAAACATTTGTAGGTCGATGTTCAACGTTCAGTACTGTGGTTTCTGACTTCTTGCTCGTTTCTACAATGTTGACACTTGTTGATTTGGTGGGCTCATCTCTGTCCCTCGTTAGTTTCATGTCGCATATACTTGTGTGGTGTTTTTTCTGACACTTTTTACATCTGTTGCGGGATTTACAATCTGAGGCACGGTGGTTTCCCAAGCAGTTGAAACATAATTTCTTCCGTTTTAAGATGTCGAATCTTGCACTTACGTCTGTAACTTTCTTACAATCCCCTGGAAAATGATTCTCTGTGCAACAATAAATGCATGGGCGGCTCTTCATCTCTGTTGTTTCAACATGAGGAGTTAACTCTCTTGTTTTCTGATTACGTGAATAATGAACGTTGCGTTGTATCTTTGAGGCTCCGGTAAGAAACATTGCTGTTGCGTGAAATCCATCGCTGTTTTCAATCTGGCCTGATTCAAGGATTTTGACTTCTTTGCTGATAGCTTTACGAAGATTTTGTAGTGAAATGTTGTCACCATCGTACTCACGTGCAATGTTTTTTTCTAATTTCAGCTGGTAGTTTGTTGATTATGACTGGAATAAGTAATGCTCCAAACATCTCTTGTCTTTGTCCTAGACACTCTAAGCTCCTGACATGAGATTCCAAGAAATCTCCAAAATTTCTTAAACTAATGGCATCATTTCTGGGGGCAGGAAGTTCGATGAGTGCTCTCATATGAGCGTTAATAATTTTCTGTGGCTGACCAAATCGTTCTTTGAGCAAGTCTATTGCCGTTTCGTAATTAGCATTTGTAAGCGCAAATCCTGCTATTGTTTGTGCTGCTGTGTCGCGTAATTGAGCTTTTAGATAGCTAAACTTTTGAATTGCCGTCAAAGTATGATTTCAATGAATCGTTGATTCGTAAGAATCCCAAAATGTATTCCATTCTAATACATCTCCGTAAAAATGCGGAAGAATCGGTGATTATTCGTGGCGTGTTGGGATGTTAATGACAAAACATTTTCCTGGCTACTTTGTGCATTGAGATCAGAGGCAGGAACATTGTTCAAAATATTCTCACAAGCCGTTTCACTTGAGTTAATTGTAGCTGACGTGTTAACGTTATTAGCTTGAATATCTGTGGTGGGTATAAAACACTCGGCATTGGCGTTCAAAGTTTTACATGGAACTTTTTCTGTAAATTTCTCAGTTTGCCTAATTTTATGGTATAATTCATACATGTACTCATCTGTATTTGCAATTTCTGTTTCGATGTCCTCTTCAGATAGGATATCCAATATGCGGCCATTCACTTCTTGTAGGGTCTGCCTTTTCAGCGCGAGAGACTTTCTAATTATGTTGATTTCATCGGTAATTTCTTCACTGGCTGAATTTTCCTTCAAGTCCAAAAACCGTCCAAATAGCTTTGTAACTGCTGATCTGTTGCCGGCTCGTATAGCTTTTAGTCTTTCTTCCATTATATGTACTACGTTGAATTCCGCTGGTCACGGCACCAAAATGTTGTGGAATGAAATAAAAGACGTCTTAATCGTATAGTGGTTTATTTGAAACTTGTTATTATCTATAGAAACATAACGTAAAGTATTATGACGTCACAACAAAGTTAACGTTACATAAACTCGCGGATAATCCATGACACCTACAGTTGAAAATAGCAAATCATTTCATTTTGTGGTATTTTTAATAAGAAGTGTTAGTTTTGTATGATGTCATAGTTAATACTTCCCGTACAAATTAAGCACCGTCTCCTTTATGTAGCCTAAACTGTAATGCGGAGGGCGCACTTTGCGCGCCCGAGGTATAACAACCGTTTGTTTCATGGTTCTTTGTTTCTTGATTGAATGATTAAAATTTTTTGGTTAGGATAGCAGACCTTTAATTAGGTGAAGAAATTTCCATTATAAATTGATTGTTACAATGATTGAACAATTAACATCTCTCATTCAAAACACCCATGCAGGCATCAGTGTTATACCACAGGCAATTCCGTGGACATTTGTGTCCAGTAGAGTAGAACCAGGCAACAAAATTTACCCGTGTCACCTTGGTCAAAGGGTTGGTTTAACATCAAAACATTTCACGATGGTTGACGAGACTTCAGGCAAGAATCAAATAGTTTTCATTTTCTAGTTGCTTAACGCACTAGCTAAATGATTCGACCCACTTTGAATAACAATGTTTTGTGCAAGTGTCTTGACTACGTCCATCACAAAATGAATTAACGCCCATAATACCAGGCTACTATTACTTGTTTGGGAGATAAAAAATCTAATACATGGAATGATAATCAATCTCTTTGTAGCGATTTATACATAATTTTACATTTAATATTGTGTGTCCATAAATGTATTTTTACGGGAAACAGAAGGTTTTAAAGTAAAACATATAGAAGAAAATTTATTTGAAACTCTGGATTTCTACGAAAATATACTTATATCTTCAACAGCAAAATTAAGAGGTATGAGGGATCAGATTGTGTGAATGAAAAATCAAATGCCATATATGTTAATCAGAGTGAATGGTAGGGCACCAAAAGATCCAGATATATGCCTCTGTACTAATTTCATTGCAGGAAATCGTCCTGATTAGTGTTCATATACCGGAAGGGAATATTTAAACAGTAGGATGTGTTGGACAAAATATGTCCTTTCAGACAATTGCAAGTACGAGGGTTGTTCTGAAAGTTCGTGGACTAGCCCCATAAAATTAAAACTGCTTAAGATACATCAATGAATCTTTTAACATTCAATAAGCATAATTTTTTTTATTTATATCATAAACTATACATCATTAGTTTTATTTTTTAATAAATTGTTGATGTTTTTGAAAGCAATGGAATCCAGGCGGCGCAACCTTGAAGATCACGTTTTTTCTACCTAAATGAAACTTAGCAAAAACTCTTTTTTTGATATGAGCATTTGTCATTCAAAAATCCCGTTAATTTACTCATGTGGTATGACACAATTGTACCGTAAAATTTGCAATTTTTACCCCATTCTGTAAGTTCTATGAAATTTTGTCGTAAAATTTATATGAAATGTCCAAACAATTATGGGGTTGTAATGACGTCAGAAAGGGGGTGGGTGGGCTTCTTTTTCCAATATTCTATAAAGTTTCACCATCTGGAAAAACTGGATTAGACCTAAGAAATATTTAAACGGGCTACTGAAAAATAAATTGTAATTCAGAGTCCTTTTTTTAAATGCCAAAAAAGATTAGAAAGACGAGAGATGTAAAAGTTAATGTCGATTTGTAGTAAGGGTGTTCAAAGTTTGTCACATCGAAAAGTGACGTTGATCATGTGTGATAGATGTTGAACTCCGACAAGCAAATGTGCTCTTATAATCAAGTGAGGATCTTTCAGATCTATTTACAATATTATAGGCATTGAAATAAGCTGTTTATGACATTGTAAAATGATATAAACAAGACGGGTTTAAATCTTTACTTAACTCCAGGGAAAATCATCAAGATATAAGTGTATGAGGTAGAGAATGCAGACAATGACGTCATGAAACTAAATGGCGACAGCGCCGGGTGATCATAAAATGTCTTTTTTTATTTTATGATAACTTGGTAAATTTTCAACGTATCAAGCTATAATATTCAACATTTCTTTAACTTTTGTTGTTTTATGTTCAGTAAAAATTTTGTAAGCATAGACTACATAGTATTAATTTTATCGCATCAGTCCACGAACCTACGAACAACCCTCGTATTTATAAAGAGCCAACAAGAGACAGTATAAAGATAGAATCTTTTATGTGTGCAAAATGGTCCTCTTCAAAGACAGTCCTTAACAAGTCTTTCCATTCTGACATATTCAGCAAAAGCGGGTTCTTTCAGATGGTCACCATCTCAATAATATCTGGATGGTACTAAATATTGATTGGGGTTTTATTTTCTCAAACACAAGAATGTTCTATGATTTTTTTGAAGACACAAATTCAATTTTGCATAAAATATAAAGTCAGATATACATAAATAATTGATGAATGTATTCACTTGTTCTTCAACACTCATTTTGAGTTGCTGCTTCTTTTTGTAAGATCTGTCAAAGTTGAAGCAATTGCTAAAAAATTCCTTTAATTTACTATAAAAGCCGACCAAATCTATCGCCAACTACCCTTATTTATGAATTGATATGGTATTATCACCTGCATATTGAATTTATATCTCCAAATGGATTCGATATACAGGAGCATGTTCTACATGTACCTACAAACAGTTTCTAAGATATTGCCGAGTAAGTTGACGATACAAGGATATCAGCAGTTTTGTTTGAAGTCAACATATGACAAATTCTATGGCGATCAAGAAAAAATAAAAATTACAAGGTTTTTGGCCTTTTTGACCCCAAAATCGAGTTCTTCAGTTAAAAGTTATTAATCTCGTTCTCTGAAAAAAGAAAATTGTTTATTCATTGAAAAATCGACAAAAAAAATAATTGTCAAAAAAAAAAAAAAAAAAAAAAAAAAAAAAAAAAACAAACGATTGCGGTACTCAGCCATTATTTTTCATGTAAATAAACAAAATAGATGCCGTTGAAGCTGAATTTAGATATGATGTAACTGAATTTCTTAATTAATCTAAAAGAAAAAGACATTAACCCTTATCTCTCTGTATGCGAGGACTAACCCAAATCTCCCGGGCGGATGCTAGACCAACCCTAATCTTTCGGATGGGTGTGAGACTAACCCTAATCAGTCGGATACCTCTGCAAGAACTAACCCTAATCTTTCAGGTTTCAAGCTAACCCTAACTAGTCGAGTGGTGTGCAAGACTAACCATTATCAGTTGAGTGACGTAAATCTTACGTCATAGTGCAAGGATAGCTCGGATCTTGGGACAGGTAAAGTAAAGTCCTCCCAGTAATGCATTATTTTAAACTTTCTTCGGGGTTATTTTTATATAGTTTGTGTGTCTGAAGGTCGTTAGAATTAAACTTAACAGTCATTTCATTTTTGTCAAGCAGAAATTTTGACAAGAATTCTTGTACATTTAAAACATCCGCACTGATAGCCATATAATTTCTGTACTAATACAGTTCATGTTTAAATTTAATCCAAAAATATGTCAGGATAATCATATGGCACGCTTAACATGCGAGCACATTTGGTACTTGTTTTGACATTAAGATTTTTTTTGATTTTTCCCCAAGATATCTAACACAAGAGTGTCGTATCGTTCATTTTTTTGCACAATGCTTATGCTGTTACAAGTTGACTTACAGGTTTCTAACAATGTAGGAATATCATAATGAATATATAATGCTCGCTATCAGCTCGTCGAAGAACAATGTTCCTTTGATTTCACAGATAAAACAAATATCTCAATATCCGGTCATGTTCATGTCCAGGTGATAGGGTCAAAATTAAAAACGCTATCTTTAACCCGCCATTATAAACTTCTTTTGTTTCGTTGGGTTGGTGGCATTCCTTTCTCCATGGCCAGTTGTTTGCTTTGCTATTTTGGTCCTAGTTGGCATGTTTTAAAGCTATTTCTAACTTTTATGTTTCTTCTTAACCCCCCCCCCCCCCGAAAAATATGGAGTACTTAGCCTCCGTTGCCCGCCGTTTACCCCTTGAATTGTCATGATCGAATATACGGAAAAATCTAATATGAATTTTACGAGAACAATAGAATATTTGTATATAGTATTAATTTCTAAATTCAGAAAAATCCTTGTCCAAATCAATTTTTAATTCTTCTTATTGGTCTTAAAAATTCTTTTTAGGAACTTTTACCAATGGAAATAATGTTTATCGATCATAAAAATGATCGATATGAGGAAAGCTTTAAAAACAGTAAATTTTAGCTCATTTTGGAAATTTGAATGAAACGTCATTAATGATGATATCAAAAGTAAGAAAGAAGATGGTGTCTCTAGAAACTTGCTATCCGTGTTAATTTCCTTGTTGAGATTGATTGTAGTCATATATTTATTCTATTATAATGTAAATGTTAATAAGGTTTCTTTGTTGGCAGGTTTGAAAGGAAATACATGTAAAGACAAAAGCACTTCACACACAAGAAGATGCCCAACGTTTATCACGGGTTAAGCATTGTGCATTTTGACGGAGTACATTCTAAAGATGTGTGAAGTGCTTGATAGTTGTGGTTACATTTTCAAGTGACTTCTAACTGTGTTGGTACACATATTAACACAGATAAAAATGTTATCATCCCATAAACTTAACATGCATAAAAGAAGAACAATGTCAACACTGATAAGTAAACAGGAAGAGAATACTAGTATTTAATATATGTACCTATGTTTCTTTTAATCAGAGATGGATTTTACATTACTGCAATTTCAATCCTCATGTTTTCAGAAAGATAGAAGAGAATAAATAAAACAAACATAAACCTTACAGAGGATACATTTAGACCTCAGATAATAAAAGGAAAAAAAAAGTAAATTCATACATATGAAATACGATACCATTTGAAAATA